CTGCAGGGCCCCACACATGCTCCCTTCTGTTCCCTCTCCAGGATCCGGGGTGCAGCGCTGGGTGGCCTGTGGCCCCCTGGGAGTCCTGGCGCCTATCCTGCTGGTCCTGCATGCCATGGTGTGCCGGGAGTGCCAGGGCCTGCGGCACCGTCGGAGGCACATGAGGTCTGGTGCCCAGGGACAGGCTGGGGACCCGCAATCACGGCCAACCCTTGGGCTGGCAGGGAAGGACGGAGCCCCCCGACCCCTCTGATGGCTGGTCGGCCGCAGGGCACCATCCCCTCCGCTCCGGGGCCCTCTTGTCCCCAGGGTCCCCTCCCTTGTTCCCGTGCAGTCGGCTGGGGGACAGCAGCGGCCGGGGAGGGAACCCCCGGGAGTCCCCTGGCAACCTGCGCCCTGGAAAGGAGAGAGGTGCCCGATGGGAGGCGGCTGTGAGATGAGGGGCCCGGGACGTGCGGAGGCTCTTTGGGAACCCGGGGGCCCAGCAGCTCTCGCTCCCCCGGGAGGGCATTGAGCAGACGGTGCACAGGCTCCATGTGGGCGATGCCATTCCCGCCACAGCCACACAGCCCCGCCGCATGGTGCAGGGCCTGCCACCAGCAGCTCTCGCCCCCACAAGCCACAGCCCCAGAGCGCAGCCCGGCCTCCCCGCGTGGTCTGCAGCCTGCCGGGGAGCCTGTCTCTGCCGGGGGAACTGAAACAGAGCCACATCTGCTCGCAGGGCCGGGAACAGCTCAGGGATGAAATAGCAGCCGAGGGGCACTGCTGAGGTCTGCCACGGCTGCAACCCCAGCGCTACGGGACGGACCGGGGGTCTTTGCATCCTGTCAGGGCTGGATTGCCGGTTAGGCACAGGAGGCACGTCCTAGGGGCGCCGGCAAAAGTTGCCAAGTACGTGCTCTGCTAGCCCAGCTGGGCTATATTCCGCTGTCCATTGCTGCGGTTTTTTAGCAGTAGTGCACTGCGGCATTTTATTTTGCTGCCCTGTTGCCGCTGGCCACACTGCTGGGGACGTCTCAGGAGGGAGGGAGCCTCCGGGTCTGCCCCGCCCCCTGTGCTGACACCCCACACTCCACTTGTCCCACATCGCGCCCCCGCCCCACAGCAAGCGCAGGGTTCTTGTCCGAGGGAGGCAGAATTTTGTTTCTGCAGAAAATATGCTGCAGTTCTGCCTTTTGTCCACCAGAGGCGCTGCTGTGGTGCCAGACCAGCCTGAGCTGGCTGGTGTCTGTGTGTGTGGGTGGGGTGTGTGTGGGGGGCGTTTCTCTGACTGTAATTGTGAGGAAGTGGGGATTTTCCCTTGTTATGTTGTATGCAAGCCTATGTGAGGCTTACTGCTTGGCATGAATGCTGTGTGTGCCTCAGTTTCCCTGTGTGCTGCACCAATGTCCAGGTGGTGGGAATAAGGGGGGGTGACTTGCGGGGGCTGCTCCAGCTGCCTGCAGGAATGCTATGGCCGCCCCTTCGTAACCTGAGACCCAGGAGGGGGATGTGACCAGGTGACTCTTGGCCCAGGACAGAGGAGGAGCAACGGGCCAGCAGGGGCCAGGCAGCTGGAAGCGAGTCAGTCTCAGCTGGCTTAGGGTGCAGGGGGACTCCCCTCCCCCCAAGATGGACTTGGCTGAAGGTCACTGATTTCTGTGCTAACAAGCTCTGTCCTACGCTGTGATCCTGTCGACTAATAAACCTTCTGTTTTACCGGCTGGCTGAGAGTCACGTCTGACTGTGGAGTTGGGGTGCAGGGCCCTTTGGCTGCCCCAGAAGCCCCTCCCGGGCGGACTCGCTGCTGGAAGCGAACAGGGTGGAATAGGGTGACCAGATGAGAGGAAGAAAATATTGGGGCACATTGGGGGCAGGGGGTCGCCGGCCGAGCAAAAAAAAAAAGGCGGGCTGGCCGGGGGAGGAAAACAAAAACAAAAACAAAA